TAGAACATATTGTATTCCTGTGACCATTCCATGTTGAATTCGGAGGGATTTAGTAGATAAGAAGCATTCTTCGCCTTTACTTCGGTAATCCCTATTACCATCGGTTTTACATCTCGGATTCTGATTTGAAATTCATTGAATTTGTTTCTGAACTGATCGGCGTTTGTATAAAAGCAAGTTAGTCTATTCACAAACTTAAAACTATTTACACTATCTTCACTGTTCTTCTTTATATCTACTCTCCTTCTACCCGAACTTTTACCACTCTGCGCGCCCAGGGTGGTCCTCGTACTCGGAAGGTGAATTCCCCCGAATGTGTCCCTTGTAGTTCTTTAGCCCTTTCATACAGTTTCTTCTCATTTTCCCTTTCAGCTCTTGTCAAGTCATTTGCAATTCTCACCTTGGCAAACTCCAAGTGATCCTTCAAGAATTTTGCACCTTTAAAAAGTTCCACCTTCTTTTTTGTTGTTGTAAGGGTAACAAGCATTGGGCGACTTGCCTTATCCTTTTTGAATTTCCCTAAACGTACCACTTTACTGATGTCGGAATTGTCAATATTTGTTTGGCATCCCTTTCCTATAGCCTGCAACTTCTCGTAGTCAAAGTTCCGTCGTGTCTCACTAGATTCTGACTCACACTCCTCAATTCCATATACCACCATGTTATTCTCCCGACTTTTCCTCTCATTTATTTCCTGCAGGACTGCTGTAACATTTTCTTTAGGCTGTACCTCATCATTATTCGATGTGATTTCAGAATTTCCAGACGCTACTTTATTATTTAGTTCATCCTTGACGATTGCACGGACATCATTTTCACTGCACTTGTTTTGCACTTCCTTTTCAAGTTTATCAATCCTTGACTCAAATATTTTCATTATTTCCTTACACCTATCCTCTATCTCTCTATCCACCACTATGTTCTTTTCGACTTTTTCTCTGCATGTACCACAAAACCACATGACATCACTTTTTGACATAATGTTATATTCCTCAACTGATTTTTTCAGACATTTTATGCAGAAATGATTGTTACATCGTTGACACTCAAGGAGCTTGTCTTCGTCCGACATGAATTCGTTTTTACATAAGTTACAGCACCAAACTACTTCATTGTCTAATGCTAGTACACAATGAGATTTCTTGGGCGAATTGTTCCTAGAGTTATCCCTAGAGGAAGGGCATGAAGTTGTTTTAATCGGTCTCCCCCTTCTTTTACTTTTTGTTTCCCCGCTCTGATCGCCGACGCCATCTGGGATATTTTTTGTTGTAGCCATCTAACCATGAATCAACAAAAACCTCGGTCTGGTATTACTAATATCACACAATACTTATTCACTTGCCTACCCGTCACACCAATTAATACTCTTACACACTACAAGAGCGATAAAAGCTCGAATATATGCTCGAAATGTCAATATCTTCTTCCTGGAATTTACAGGTTGCCGTCCACCGGAAGTCACGTTCACATCCGCGAAATGTAAAATGCTTATTATATGTCTGTTTTCTGTCATAAAAAATCGTTATTATGTTACTTTCTATGGATGATGATTATAATTATTTGTAGAAACTATTAATTCTCTGCCTATTGAATTCTTTATTATAACGACATTCAGACCAATTTCCGGCAGTTCGAGTTGCGCGGTGAATTCAATTTCGTCAGAAGCGAAACACCTTAAATAGTTTTTCGTGAAATTCCACAACCCAGATTATCCAAACAATGTTTAAAAGCGTAAGATCGAAACATTTTTTTTTCTAATTTCTAGTCATATTATCTTTAATGATGTGTAAACTATAACAATAAACTTATGTTTGTTTTTTCTTTTGTTTTGAACATATTTATTGTATAATTTATTCACATATTTTATTGCATAATTTATACAAGGGGATGGGTTACATGTTATTGCAACTTAGAAAAACCTTTCTCTGTTATATATAAAATAATTATAATTAATGATTGCCAAAAGAATTATTTACAATTGTAGGTGTAAAACAAGATGTGTTTGTGAAACACTATGCGCCCGACGGCGGCAACAAAGTTAAAAAAACATATTTTTAGCATATAGGTCACAGTGAAGGTCACAAGGTCATTGATTTTGGTGTCATTTAAAAGAACTTAATTAGTGAAGTATGCATACCAATTATAGAGTCTCTATCTTTAATTGTTTAAAAGTTATGGAGAATGTTAAAAAAAGGTATTTGTAGCATATAGGACACAGTCAAGGTCACAAAGTCATTGACCTTGATGTCATTTGAAAGAACTTAATTAGTGGAGTATGCATACCAAATATGACGTCTTTATCTTTTATTGTTCAAAAGTTATAGCGAAGATTAAAGTTTGCAGAAGAAAAACTATTTTTAGCATATAGGTCACAGTCAAGGTCACAAGGTCATTGTCCTTGGTGTCATTTGAAAGAGCTTACGTGGTGGAGTATGCATACAAAATATGAAGTCTCAACGTTTCATGGTTCAAAAATTATAGCGAAGGTTAAAGTTTGCAGACAGACAGACAGACAGCTAGACAGACAGGACAAAAACAATACACGCCTCGGATCTTTCGATCCGGGCGCATATTTATACATATATATGAAGTATCATAAATTATAATACGAAATATTTCAAAGACACTTACTTAAGATCCAGAGTTCTTACAATGTGTAAATCTATAATGCTAAATGTAAATGATTAAAATGACAACAATGCTTGCGTGGTTAAGGAAAATATAAAAATAATGATAATTAATAATAAATATGATTACATGAAACATTCGCACGTTATGAACAATCAAATTTGTATATATACATGATTAAATGACAGGGAAACACAAGAATTATCTGAAGTAGATCAAAATCTTCCTGAATCACGAATGAACTTTTGGACATAGTGAAATATTTTATTATTCACATCAACAGACAAGGAATCATTTCCAAATAATAAGCGATGGAGGCTGACTATTGTCAAGTGATTGTATTGTAAAATATTGTTCAAGAGGCAATTTCTTTGCCGCTCAGATTTTTACATGCAAAAAAGAAATGCTATACATCTTCAATTTGTCAACAGGAATAATTAATTAGGAGAGTCAATTATATTTCTTCGATAAAGATCATTATAAAGTAACTACTGTGCCTTAATTTTGTGTGAATTATATTTAAATAACATTTCCCATATAAAAATACGAAGGCGACTTTGAGAGGTGTGAGCGTATTCTAAACTTATTAGCGTACAGGTGTCACTCATCTCAGAACCAGTAGGGAGGGATCTCTGGTTATGAAAAGGACATGAATCCACATCCTTGATCATTATCAAAAGTACAAACAGCGGGTGGTGAAGGTGAAGAGTTTGTTCTTTATTTACTCGTGTAATTATTCTGAAAGGTAGTACAGAAAATGATTTTGATGAAATCGGTGTGTCACATTTTGTTTGGCTAAAATTTCAAAATTGTTATTGCCGGTAAAGGTTCTAAATTGTAGCCCTTCAACGATAAGAGGTGGTGTCTGAATATGAGTTAACATTTTTCTGAGGGATGTTAAACAAAAAGAAAACCCCAAACAATTGCAATTGGGGCACCGTGTGTACAATAACCGTCTCTCTTATCTCTTCCTTAGCTGTGTAATGTTGGTTTTTACACGGATGTAAGTACTTTGCAATGAACATTTGTCATTTCCATACAGTGGTGATTACATCAACATGTGATCAAGTCTCCGATGAGTATTCACAAGAAAAACTACTTGTTTATAAATTTAATCATGATTACGGTATATATAACATTATTTTATCAGAATTACGTACGGTATACCAGAAGGTTTCTTTACCTAAAGAATAAAATGTACACATCTGTAAAACATAAACGTTTTTGTAAACAGATCACGAGCTCTTTTGTTAATGTTTGCTTATTACAGAGTGTGTTCGATCTGATAAACTCTCTGCACATCACTAAGCACGGACGGACAATAATGATCAATTTGTGTTACTTTCATACATTTCTTCTCCAAGACTAATTTTTTTGAATTATAGTTTGAATATATTTCATTAATACACCATACTTTTTAAAAAATGTCTTCAGTAAACTCTTCATAAATATTGCTTTAGGGAAGTTCAAGCATGTAACAATCAAACACGTCAAAAAATAATTTCCAAATAAAGTAAGTTTTTTTAAATTATATATCCGTGTGAAATGCTATAGCAACATATAAAAAAATGGTATTTTACAGAAAAGTTGAGAGAATATATTTTTCAAATCCGTGTTCAATCACCTTAAATACTATTTGTATAGAAATTTTAGTAATTTTAAAAAATATTTTTTTCAATAGAATATTGTTTAACTATAGTTGCATTGGAGAATGCAAATTCAATATACAAAGAATTATGATGCGAAATTTTAGGAACTTGGAAATGTTCAGACAAATGTTAACTCAAAAGTTCAGAATCTTATCTCCATAAACATCAAAATAGTAAAAACAATATTTTAGATTACTTAACATCCTTGTTTATTACAAACATTGGGTGTTGAAGGAAAAGATTTTTTTTTGTTCTTAACTCTCCCGTATATCACATTTTGTTTTTATTCATGTAGGACTATTTTTTCCATGTTTAAACTTTTAAAATATATTTTTGCTATATAATTTAAGTTTAAAAAAATATAGTTTTTTTTTTTACAGAATATTGTTTGACCATATTTGCACCGTAGAATGCAAATTCAATATACAAGCTAATGATAATGCAAAATTTTAAAAAATTTGAAATGTCCAGAAAAAATGTTAACTCAAAAGATGACTCTATCGGACTGCTAATTAAAATATATTCCTTCAAGTTTTATGGTTCGTGAGGATAACAAATTAGTAAATAAATGTTACTATCGATTTTCCTAATTTGAATGCCTTATAGGCAAGTATAACTATTAAAGTTAGAACTTAAAAGTACCCATTAGAGTGTTACTAACATGAAAATAAGTTTTATAGTGGCTGTGCAGTTATTTACTTACTCTCTTGCTTTGTAGATTGAATAGAAAATCATTTTGACAATGTAATGGTAATAACATGGCTACCGCGAGTAGTCCATACAACTCAACAGAAGAGACTACGAATGCTAACAGGGCGTGTCGCCTTCTGCTTGGTCCCTGTACCGATCAACTTAGAGATGTTCTACGCAAAAAGGTGCCACCGCCTACATTTGCCGCAGAAATTATAAAACCAAAGCATAATCTACCGAGATTAACTCCACAGCAACGAGATCTAATTTTGCCAAGGAATGGGTCCTACTCTGGAAATTATGATGACTTTGATATTTCACTATTGTACATTCTTTTAAGAAATATATGCAAAATTACACCTCATAAAAATAGCTGGGGGAAAGTCCCAGATGTAACTGATGTATGCCTTTCTGCAAATATCGAAAGGATACGAATGGCTCGAAATAGCACTGTCCACTCTGCAAGACCTTCCCTCACAAACTTTGAATTTAATGATATTTGGACGTCAGTTCGAGTTGCAGTAGTAGAAATCGATACATTCCTTTCAAATGGAAATTTTTATGAGAAGAAGGTTGACATTTTGAGACACACAACAATGGACCCTATCCAAGACAAGCATTACAGAGACCAACTGGCAAAACAATATGCCGAGGATCAAACTACCAAAGAATGCTTTCGCACACTTCAGGGTATGCATAGATAAACCTGAAATATACGTTTAACATTAAAAAAACCCGCATGTATAATGCACGAAAATCAAATAAACAGAAATAAATTTCTATCTACAGTATCTTTTACGCATCAAACATCAATCACTACCATATTGTTGATTGAAAAGAAAAAGAAAATTTTTCCAGATCACAATTTTTTTCTACAAATTTATTTTTCTTAGAAATAACAATGTGGCGATTGTTTTGTAAGAAGTACTATTAGTCTAATTTTCAAATTGTTTGTTGATTTTATTTTAAGAAAACTTTGAAAGTAATTTGAAAGAAACAGCGGACAGGATAAATCTCCTCAAGGGTTAGTTGTAAATGTTTCTTTTCAAATGTTTGTCCTCTTTTTGATACACAGATATACTCCTGAATTATCACTAAATGATTACTAGAGCTATACATGTACATGTTTTTCATTTTCAGAAAACATTGGAAGTGATCTGAGAGAAAAAGAAAACAGGATAAGTCTCCTCGAGGGTAAGTCGTACATCTTTTTAGAATGTCATTAAAAAGGTATCAAAAGATTGTTTGCTAAAGGAAGAAAATCTTAAAAAGGATTTCACGGATAATGTGAATAGCATGAATGCAAACAAGGTAAAAAAAAAAGTGAAAATTGGAGAGTTTAAGCATACATTCAAATATAATAACATAATTGTTATAATTTCTATTGACTGCTTCATAATTGCAGGAAAATGTTGCATCAAGTTTATTTTTTATCAATATTCATGCAAACACATTTTGTTATAAAATGTATGTTTGAATAAGTTTTAACTGGATGCTTTACATTTTCAATCAAGGTTGCTCAATAATACACCATAAAAGGAAAAAAGACATAGTTTTATGGTGATTCCGCTACTTTGATTGCTACTTACATAAAGAAGGAATATTTTTTTGAAATTCGTACCTGCCAAGATATTTGTTTCTTGTAAAATTATTTTATCAAGACGATTTAGCCTTAATTTGAAAAGGGTATTGTTTTTATTCAAACATAAAAGCCTGTTCCTAATACTAATTGTGTGTACAATTTGTTTAATATAATGTTATGATATCGACCAGTTTTTATGCTCAAAGGTTCAATAATGCAATTCAAATTGTGAGCAGAGAAGTTCAAACAAAGTTCCCATCTACAAACAAGAAAGAATTAATGAGATTTTTGGGCATGGCTGAAAAATCCTTTCATAAAATCAAATCTGTCCTTATGAGCAACCCAGTTCTGTCAACTCCAGATTTTTCTAAGCAATTAAAGCTTACTGTTGATGCTAGTGATGTTGGAATCGGGGCAGCTTTGTTTCAAGAACATAGTGATAAGGTAGATAGAGTTGTTTCTTATTTTTAAAAGAAACTTACAAAATGTCAACAAAAGTATTCCACCATTGAAAAGGAATGCCTTGCTTTGTTGTTAGCCTTACAGCATTTTGATGTTTATCTGAATGTTACTTTGCATCCAATTCTTGTATATACTGATCACAACCCCCTGACATTTTTGAATAAATTGTCAAACAAGAATCAAAGACTGACTAGATGGAGTTTGTTATTACAAGAATACAACATAACAATTAAACATATCAAAGGCAAAGACAATGTTATTGCAGACGCCTTGTCAAGAGTATCGTAAACATACTAGATTTTGTATTAATGTACCTATGTTTTAATAAAATAAGTTTTTTATTGACATTCATACTTTTAAGGGGGAGGTGTTGTGAGATGTGTATTGTTTCATCATATATATTTTAGTAACATAAAGTTTCTTGAACATTCCAGAGTGGTCAACATGTTCGGTCATTTTATCTAGAACATCTTAAATTTTGTGTATGTCCAGATCGTTCCAGTAATATCATGTTTTAACAATTTTTAGAATATTCTAGATTTATGATACTGTATAAATACCCTGTCAATTCGATGCATATACAATAATTGTGAATACTTGGTCGTATAGGCACTATTGACATATATCTGGGATATATATTCACTGGGACATTGTGTGTAGCAACGGACACTCTGATGTATGTATTTTTAGATTCTTGCTAAGTTTGTACTTTATGTTTCATATACTAATTATGTATTACTGTAAATAAATTATTGTTAAGTTTAAATTGTGTTATTGATCTTTGCTGGCATTTAGGGTTATTCTGACCCATAACATACTTAATATTTATAACAAAACCAAGTACACATGTATCTATTTTAGAGGTCTAAGCGATCTTTAAAATTTTGTATATGTAGAGAGAGAGGTTTGTCTAATATAGCCTGTTCTTTACAACAATCATTGTCCCCCGCTTGAAAAGTGGGGGATATTAATTTGGGTTTGTCCGTCCATCTGTCCGTTCGTCCGTCTTTCTGTCTGTCTGTAACGCTTTAGTTTCCACACGATATCTCGAGAACCCTTTAAGCTTTTGCAATGAAGTTTAGCATAAAAAAAAGACCCCTATTGATTTTGAGGTCAAAAGGTCAAAGGTCAAGGTCATAAAGTAGCAAATTATGTCTTTTATAACACTTTCGTTTCCACACGATATCTCTAGAACCATTTGAACTATTGCCATGAAATTTTACAAAGCAACTCCCTGTGGCCTAATAATTTTGATTTTGAGGTCAAAAGGTCAAAGTTCAAGGTCTTAAATTTATACATTCTTTCTGTGTGTAACACTATCATTTCCGGGCGAGATTTTGAGTTAATGCAATGTAATTTTATACCAAAACTCCCTAGGACCTCTCTCACCCCTCTCAAAGTGCCCTGCCCCGTTTGTTTTATTATATAGTATAACATGTTGCTATTTTTAGCACAGGGGCATGGAGGAGAGTTATTGCGTATAAAACAGGTTCTCGGTGGACTTTGTGTTCTTATTACATTTATAAGAACTGTTTAATAAAGGCTAAATAAATCAAACACCATGGATTGTGTAAAATTTTGAGAATACCGAACATGAATATATACATGTATGTGACTTTAGTTCTGCATATACTTGTTGCCATGTAAAGCGATTCCGTGTTCTAGTGGTTATGTCTCCCGCTTCACATGTGAGAGGTCCCGGGATCGAATCTCGGTCGATCCTTTCATTTTTATTTTTTTTTAATACTTTTTTTTACTAAATGATAGTATTCAGCATGTGAAATGAAAAATTTATGAGGTTATAAAATCATCATTACAGTGTGATAAATATTCCATATAAAAAAATCTTCTATACACAGAATAAAGAATAAGCAATCAAATCTTTATATGCATATTGACATATATGTATTTTATTTCCTTCAGTATACATGTATACATGTAATAATTCTACAAATTTAGTCAGGGGAATCCGACTTTTTCTCTAAGCGGGGGACACGAATTCTCTGAATAAGCTTTTATAAATTGGAACGGAAATGAGCCCTTTATTTGTTAGGTAACTATAAACACCTTTCGATTCACAACAACCTACCAGGAAGAAAAACGACAAACCGAAAGTTAACGAAAGTTTAGCTGAAATACTTCAAGATCACCGAAAGCTTTGAGTACGTTTTCACGACTAGGTTTAATATTTGTTGTTTGAATCTCTGTCTTTTTTCTCTCTTTCTATCTCTCAGACAGTTACTTTCCATAAATAAAGTGTTTGATGTACGTTAGTAAGATTTGTAGTAGCCTGTTTGGGAAACACATGTGGTATTCACTTTTTTTATCATTTAAACATGTTAAATACAACACAAGCCAAATTCAATGCCTGACAGCCAGCGTGATTGCTGGACGCCCGGTATTAATTTCTTTACTGAATTGCTTTCATTAAATAAATAATGTTCAAATATATAGAACAGAATAGAAAAGAATTTCCCCAAATAAAAAAAGGAAAAAAGAAAACTACAAACTGACCTATTAAGATCAATATTCACGACCCTAATCACTACATATTGAATCCTATAAAAGTAGGGTTCTTTTTATTTTCAGTGTTTTCCATACATATCAGAATCAGATCTCTTTGACTCAGCTTTGATTATTCTGTATTTCTTAACTGTAATTGACAATGCAGTATTAGTAACTGTAGAATATTTACTTCAGAAACCTAGCAAAATTTTCTGAATTTAATGCATAGTAAGTCAATATTTTGAAAATTGCTTTAAAATAATACGAAAATGTTAACATTACTTGATTCCTTTGTGCTAATGAAAAAGGTTATGTCTATTATAAAATCAGGATTATATCTTTGCGTCTTTTTGTTGTTTAGGAGAAAACCTAGCTTTAATATTCTTCCTTAAAATTTTAGCAAAAACATGTCTATTTTTCAATATCATAATCAATAATTTTTAAAAAAAATATATCAATATTTTTTAAAAATTAATTATTTAGTAATTTTTGTAGATATAGCTACAATGTAGAAAAAAAAATGGCCTCTTCCACCACCACCACGGCACAAGAATTCATAACCTGTGACCTTTGTATCAAACCTGTCCAGCAATTCTGTAACAGCTGCCAAGTCGGTCTGTGTGAAGACTGCATCAACAAACATGCCAAGAGCCTCAAGTCCATGAAGCATGACATTATTCCTTTCACAAAGCGTACAGTACAGCCTGTGTTCCCTCAGTGTACATCTCATTCCCACCAGAGATGTGAGGCCCACTGTCAACAGTGTGATGTCCCGGTCTGCATTAAATGTCTCAATGGACAGCACAAAGGTCATGTTTTCGAGGACATGGATAAAATTGTAGCTTTAAGGAGAGAAAAAATAAAACAAGAAACTGCAGAAATTGAAGACATTATTCTGAAGACCACAACACAGGACTTAGACACTGAAAATAAAATTTCCAAAGCCATGGCCCATTATGAAGATTTTCAGAAACAGACCAATGACTATAGAGAGCAATGGCACCTAGAGGTGGACAATATCTATAACAAGCTTGATTCCCTGATTCAGTTACTCAAAGAGCATCATATTACAGCTCTAAAATTATGTCATTCTCAACTCAATAGTCAGAATTCCAGTATGATCCAAACTGTTCAAGAAAACAAAGAAATCCTGAAGTCCAATATAGTGTCTGATGTCAACAACTACCAATCTAAACTGAAGGAATACAGGGACATTCCACAAATAACTGATTTACCATTCCCCTCTCTTCAAACAAAATCAGACCAAGGGAGTGAACTCGGTAGAGAATTAGAAGGATTCAAGGCTACATTGACACAGACATCACTATCCAGTCTGACAGATGAAGTCTCCTTTTCATCCGTTAAAGAATTAATAGAAGAAGCCAAAGTGATTGCAAACATTCCAACAAATGTTAAAAACTTACTTAAAATAGCCTGTGTAGAATCAAATAAGGCTTGGATTAATGGACAAGACAAAATGATAACCTGTGTGGATATACACAGTGCTGTCCAAGACACCGTTACCAGTACATGTAAATACCTCCCTAATGATATAACAGTGACAAGACAGGGAGAACTGATATACAGCGATTCTAACAATAGAACTCTGAACATTGTCAGAGATGGGAAGATAGAGACACAGATCACCACACCAAGGGGCTGGCATCCAGATGGACTGTGCTGTACCAGGTCAGGGGACATCCTAGTTAGTATGTTTACTGCTGATAGAAGTCATCGTAAAATAGTCCGTTATCAGGGACAGAGATTGACACAGGAAATAGATAAAGATGAACATGGTGATCCAATCTATCAAGGAGGAGAATATGCAATGTTTGTGGTGGAGAACAACAATGGAGACATAGTGGCCTCTGATATCAATGCTGACACAGTGGTAGTGGTGGACAGGACAGGAAAAGTCAGATTTAGATACAACGACAAACCTCCAAGGGGAAAGGAATCATTTAGTCCTGCACAAATAGTGACAGACTCCATGGGTCACATCATAGTGACTGATGTATCCAATAACTGTTTACACATCCTGGATCAGAATGGACAGTTCCTGAGATGTGTGGATAATTGTGGGCTAGATTGTCCTAATGGACTGAGTATGGACAGTGAGGGGAGGTTGTGGGTAGGGTTGTTTGATTCAGGGGAAGTAAAAGTCATCCAGTACATGAAATAGACAACAAAAAATTACTCATAGTGTTCTTAGCATGTGTTTTTCAAAGAAAATTAAAATTACAATTTTCAAAAAAATTTTATTTATTGTCTTAACTGATGATCTTTATATTCATATATTTACAATTGCATTATTCTTTCTTAGATGAACCTATTGAAGAGAAAATATGTTCAATTCTGTATGTTTACATTTGCAAATATTTTTTTATATAAACCTATTAAAGAGAAAATGTGTTCAATTCTGTGTGAATGTGATTTGGGGTCGGTGGTCATTGCGCGACCAAATGACAGAGCGAGGTGATATAGATATTTTTCGATGGGTCTAAATTTAGCAAAAGTTATCTCCCGTTGGCCGCCATATTGGAGGTCGACTTAGTGAGTTTTCTTCTTTGTCTTACCAAGTTTAACACAATATAGCAGAAATATTTGGTTGAAAATCTTTATTAAATAATTTTTTTAAATAAAGGAGGCTTAAAAAAATTCATATACTTAAAAAAAAGCAATGATTCCTAATTCAAATTAACAAATATAAACATTCAAATGTTGGAGCGAGGTAAACTTTCTAGACCAAACAACTTCTAGATCACTGGGCATCACGACGTAGCTACAGCGGTCCGTTCGTTAAATAAATTGAGTTTTACTCAAAATTTATTCGTCTCAAATTTAAGTTATAAACAACAGTGTTAAAAAGTTCACTGGGAAATGAACTTTTAGTTGGTACGTGATCAAATCTACTGAGAAGCCCAGAGCATTTGATGACGTTCCAAACTAAAAGTTCACTTCCTTGAGATAAAAGATACCACAGAGTCAGACACTTCTGCTTCATACTTGGATATTTTACTTCAAAAAGACACTAATGGTAATCTAACAACCAAGCTATATGATAAACATGATGACTTTAACTTTTCTATCGTCAACTTCCCTGACTTATGCAGCAATATACCTTCATCACCTGCATACGTAGTACTAGTATATATATCTCAGTTGATTCGATACGCAAGAGCGTGCTCTACGTATGAACAATTTCTTAAACGAGGTAAATTATTGACAAGCAAGTTGATGAAACAAGAATATCAACAGTCTCGTTTAAAGTCACCATTTCGTAAATTCTATGGTCGATACCATGACCTTGTCAGCAAATACAATTTATCATTGAGTCATATGCTGTCTGACGTTTTTCATACCAATTGTTAATCCATTATTTATACACTGAATTGACGACGGATTTTTTCCGTTACCTGGGTATTTCCTGATCATGACAACGAGCACACGGCGGGTGTGACCGGTCGGCAGGGGATACTCACTCCTCCATGGCACCTGATCCCACCTCTGATGTTTCGGAGGTCTGTGTTTACTCTGCTTTTATTGCAGCCCGGAGGACCGGGCTGCTCTATACATATAAGTTTAAGTGTTAGTGTATGGGGATTGGGCTGGGAGTAGTTATGTAGATTTAAAGGTTTTCTAAACATTGAAAAGATTGTTAATCAGAATGTTTTTCCGTTTATAAATTTTGAGATACATAATATATTTACTTCTGAAAAGTGAATCTGTAAAAATATATATGTTTTTCATATTTAATATATAAAGTTACTTATCATTTACTATCAAAACAACGACAGGTCCCTTTTTTTAGAAAATCGAATTTTACCTCTCGGATTAAAACGTACTCTGCACAGTTCGTGTTTTATATTCTAATATTGAAAATAAATACATTTTTAAATATAAATGATGTGTGTGTCTTACTTAAATTTATATTTTATGCAGCCAACATTTACTTGAGGAATTGATCAAGCTTAAAATGGTATCGTTTTTCTTTGATTTTTATCCCACTACAAGTTTTTAAAAATATTTGCGACTATCGTCTCCATCAATTAGACGCATGTCTTTTTACACATATCGAAGCAGTTTGTTGATCAAGATTCATTTTTGCTAGAGCTCTCGAGGGGGTATAAATACCCTCCCGCTTTTCACGCGGGGGGGGGGGGTATGATAATTAAAGAATTCAGCAAAATAAATCACTTGATCATGGATCTTCCTTTCTGTGGTTAAAAAATTCTACGGCGCTAGCTCACCTATCTTTTTTAAAGGTAAACTTGTCATTGTTTACTTTATATATTTCCCAGGCGGCAATTGATGGTTACATCAATGTTTTCTTGTTTTGTATATTGTTTAATGGACGTTGAGATTGAATACTGTTCGTTATCTACATATCCTTCCTCTAGAGAACTTTTTAACATTGTTGTTTATTTCTTAAAAGAAGTATTAAAATACCTGTACAAGAAATATTTATAATGTTTGTGATAAAATTTATACATGTACTTCATTAAACAAGGAATCAAGTATACTCATTAAAGTTTTTAAGGTTCATAAACTCTTTGCTCTATCAGATAAAATGTTGCTTAAACCTTACTGATTTTTTAAAAGAAATGTATTTTATAAGTAAGATACAAACAATTATAGCATAGCTTGCAGGGCAAAATGGGACAAAAAAAAGACATCTCAACTTGGCAAATCTGTAAAGGAATAATAGACATTTATGTCTTTAAGCGTTATCTCTCTTATCAGAGTATCGATGAACCCTAAAGAGGTTATTTCCTGCAATCAAGAGTCTTCATTATGTTTTGTAATGTGTATGTTGGAATACATGTTGAAACAAAATTAAACAAGAGGCCAAAGGGCTACATCGCTCATCTGAGCACATTAGCTATTAAAATACACAAACAGTTCCGTGTTGAAAAGTGTACAGAGAGACGTTGAAGGGGGCTGGAATTTAAAATTTCATGGGAATGCTTGTTCTTCCGCAGCGTTTTTAAATTTTTTCATATATATACTTATTTAAAACTTTGAACGCCCAGAGTGGCCCTATCTTAGTTACCACCAAGAGGACATGATTTGAAGAAACTTGCATGAATCTACACTACCTCAGGATGCTTCCATTTTAAAAGGACAAATCATGGCTTTGCTAATCCTGAGAATTTTCCCCCCATATTCAGTTACCGGTAAGTAAAACGTTTTTTCAACATAC